TATTTTGCATTCCCTCTTTGTACCCGTATTCCAGATATATAAAGAATGAATTTGACTCATCAGTACCCTCTTATACATTATTAGATAATCCAAATATATTAATATCTATTCTGTCATCAAACTCTAATTATATTTTTATTATCATTAAAAAATTTATTACCTTAACAACTCTTTCTAGTTTTGATTTTTATTTTCATAAATCATATATTTGGCTTAATATAAATCCATTTGTATAAGTACTTTATTAATACATTCATCATTAATATCTTATCTGTCTTTACTATTTGACGCATCCAATTTATATGAAATCCGCATTAATTTTTTACTCTAAATTTTACAATAAATTAATTTAAAAAATTAAATATCATATTGCCAGGAGATATAGTCCAAAGAACCCGAAAAGGGACCCTCACAAGCTAGCACATCACTTGTGGAGGATATTCCCAGAGAGAATAGGACACTTTGCATTCACTATATGAGGACCATCTCTCAAATCGATTTCTACTCATGCTCTTTCTTGGAAAATCCAAATTCAATTCGGAGAAAGAAAGAGATGATGGAATCATAAAAAGAATGACAGAATGCTTGCTTAACAATTAAAACCAATTTGGACCTAGAGAATATCTAGAAGAATTATTAATTAATAATATCATTATAGAGTAAAACCCAAAATGGTCACTCAAACCACATATGAAAAACCCAAGACCAATAAAAATATTATAGAAGAAATTGATGATCCTGAAGTTGTCAGTGCGATTCAAAATGATGATACACCAAATCTTAGTCAAGTCTCTTGGAACCTTTACATAATTTAAAACATACTGGGGAAATCTAAATGATAAGACTCCTTATTAACAAGATGTAGATGTTCTTGACACCAATAGATTTCCATGCTCCTTTGAAATACATAGGAAATGTACCTTTTATCATAATTCAATGCAACTCCTACTTAATTCTAAATACTCACTATCCATTTAGATTATTAGAGACAATACTTACTTAACGAAATTGAGAATGGACACTCCAATCCTACAAAAATCAATTAATTTTTTGAAAAAAAAAGAAGACAATTGGGCAGTTGCTTCAAGAAGTGGTTAATGGAAGACGGGAAAAATTAACAAAGAGGACTATAGTAAATGTATGATGTGAAGATGGATGAAGACACTTTAGTATAATACAAATTTTCTAGGAATAATGTTGGAGCCACTTTGATTCACAATCTGTTTATTTCTGGATACTAAATCAACTAGAATAATCATTGGTTTGCAATTTTCATGAGAGAACTTAACGATCAACTTTGGATCTTTAATGTTAGTAACATAGATAAATAAAAGAAGGTTTGTATTTGGTTTTTATTAATATATGTTCCCCATTAAATAAAACATAGTTAAGCTCTCTTTCAATTGAAGCTGAAACACATGTAATTGCCCATTCTAACTAAATTTAATGACTTGGAATAAAGGTCTTAGCCATTATTGCAACCACCAAGCTAGTGCTGACCTCATGAGATCCCTATATTCGTCCACAGTCAGAGTTAAATGACACGTATTGAATAAATTTTAAAATTGTTCACAATCTAACCTAAACTTAGTTGAAAATCTTCTCTAAAAACACTTATGAGCTTAGCATTTTCATTTCACATCATAGTATATGTTCATATAATCCTATTAAGATCTCCCTTTATTTCCATTAATTTTTATGTAAATTAACCTTTTATTTTAATAACTGAACTTTTGGACTATAATTCACTATGATATGAGGCATAAATTATTAGAATTGAGTTTCCTTGAATTTAAGGTGTAAAACAATTAAGATTTGAATATAAGATTATTTAAAAAATAAACCTAAAGTCATTTCTTCAAACTAATTAGATAATCAATAGAAATGCATTTAGAAATCGGAATGACCATATATAATCTATATCAATTCAACTTTTAAGATCACTTACATTGAAGGCTAAATAAAAGAATTTTAATCTGCACTAAAATTATAATCAACAAGAACTGATATTGAAACTATAGAAATTTATGATTGCTACATAACATTTAGGAAGACGGCTAACTATAGAATTTAATTTAAAAAAAAACTTTATTGATTATTTAATAATGACTAATTAAATGTAAATGAATTACTTTAGTCAGCTTGTATAATTTAATAGTTTATATTCTAACTATTTTTTGTATCATTCACTCATTTAACTATTCTTTTATTTTATTAGTCTTGAATAAAATAGAAGTTTACTAGTATTTTATTATTAGTTTGTCTAATAGAATTAAAAATAATATAGCGAGAATATATTAGTTGTAATTTCTTAAGGTTTAGGGATTAGAAAATTAAATTTTCAAATGAATAAAAAATACTTAAAAGCAAGTCCATAATATTTTAAAAAGATATAACTGAGGTTTTAGAAATTTACATTCTAATTCTAATGATGATATTTAAGCCCTCATCATGAATTTTTCATTGATTATTATTTAATCAAAGAAGTCTGTTTTTACTTTAAAATTTAAGTAGTCTTAAGAATACAATCAGCCTTCATTTAACTGATTTTAGATTGTTATTTCTATATTTGAAATACCCAGGATACATTTATAATTAAAAGAATCTTGTGTAAAATATTTTTTTTATGTTCTTAATTATCCGACTTTGCTTGTTATGATAAAAATATCAAAAAAATTTGTGAATTTAAAAGATTTAGAAAAATCTAAAATAAATTCTAAAGAGTTGATTTAATGCTTTAAAGGAAATTATGTATAACTATTTCAAAACATGTAAAAATTTGTAAAAAGAATAATTTATTATTAAAAGCTATAAATTCATCCAATAAACATTTAATTAAATTCATGAAGATTTATCATCTTCTTAAAATGCATTTAATTTATTACATTAATAAGAAACACTGAACATTTTGGTCAACCCTTTCAGGATTTGAAATTTAATTTGTATTATTTTGACTATTAGTAAATCCATTCTTTTTTAAAACTAACAAAATTTGCATTAGTATTAAACTAAATTTTAATTAAATATTTTCTAACTCCATTTATAGGTTTCCTTTAGTTGTCTCTTAATTAACTAAGAAATTTTGTATAGTCACAGTAAGATACTCATTTTTTTAATTTGTTTTCGATGTTTTTTAATAGTAGTATTATAAAATAGCTAGAGAGAAAATCCAAATAAATTAAAATGATCCAAAGTTTTTCCACACATTTACATTCATAAATCTAAAGTGTATAAGCAGAAAAAATTAATGAATTTTAACAGCAAACTCTTTCATTAAGTTAGAACTTACAATTACAAAATAATAGAAATTAAGATTTACTAAATAAATAATAAATTAAGATCAGGATTTTTATAAATTATGTGTTATTAAAAACACCAATATTTTTTTCATTAAATTTCAATATTTTAGTTATTTAAAACCTTTCTTTTTATTGCATTTATAGAAAAGATTTGAAATTTGGTTTTTGGAACAAGAAATTACATTAAAAATTAATTATTAAAAAATTGACTTTAACTATTTCTACAAAATTGGATGTTTATTATTATTTGATTATAAGTCTTAGAAATTGATACTCTAATGAATAAAGTAACTTTTAAAAAATATATTAATTTTTAAGAACAAAAGACTTTTGTTTTTCAATTCAAATTTATGCAATATATGATTATATTTATAAATAATTAAATGCATTAATTAATAGATTCATTTATGTATGTAAAAAAAATCTAAATAAACAAGTTGGTATTGTTTATCCAGAGTCATTTTGAAAATGAAAAGGTACTAATTTTTGATAGGCCATCACTTTTCATCTACTTATACCAGAAAAATCTTTGATTCTAAATTTATACTAAATAATATAAAGAAATAGCGATTAAAAATGCCTCCTTTTATTATTAGTAACTCAAACAAAGATAAAGTACTAATAAATTTAAATAAACTTATTACTATAAATTACTATCGAAGTCTATTGTTCCTCTTATAATCAATCATACGAAGGATATATTTGACTTTTATTCCATTAGTTAATTTATTTAGTATACAGCATAAAAGAAAAGTAAAAAGTATTATCGTTCCTCATATATGTGATTGAATTAAAAAATCTAAGTGAGTATTTCATTTCACTTATAAAATATACTTTCATTTAACTTTCTGAAGTGTTTTTAAATGAATTATTATATAAAAAATAATTGGCTACTTTAAACTTTTATAACTTACTTAGAATTATAATAAAAAAAAAGTTTTATTTAATAAATTTCTAATATTTACTCACAAGAATTATAAATAATCATAATACTTTAAAATTATTAAGATTTTTAAATCACTATAGTAAAGTTAAGATGGTTGAGTGTTAATTTAATTTATAATATATCTATAATCTATTTCTATAAGTAAAATAATTATATAACAAATCTTTGGAGGTATATACCTGTCTTATTAACCAGAGCGCATTATTCTTAATGAAAAAAATTCACTTTTTCTTTAATATTTAGATTTTAGTATAAGTGTATTGAATACTAGTTATAAGATCTTCAAAAATGAAAAATTCTATTATGTTTATATTTTCGTGTAGCAGCAAAGCACTAGAATAAATTCGAGAGTAAGGATTTGATTCATAAGCTTTATAAGAGCATCCTTTATGAGTTCGATTGAAAAACATATCAGTAAATCTAAAGTTTATTCAATATAGGCAGCATATCATAAAAACT